TATTGTACTACAGTATAGTGTATTTTGTACTGAAAATTATTGTACTATGCTAGAGTATAGTGTATATGCTGTATAATGTAATATTCCTTACTATACTGTATTATACTATACTATACTTACACCCATTCTTCACCAACATTCCAAAATTCATAAAATCGCTAAGAATAGTTCCCGAAAGAAAAGTTTTAATTTTTTTTACTCATTCGGCAGGCACTTTTGTATAGATTCACGTGATACATGTGACTATAGGTGACATTTTCTAGTTTGGCCGCACTAGAGGCTCAAATTTGCCCGTTATCCGTTAAATATAGCTCCCATAGGCAGAATTTGAATTTGTTTAGTTTGTTTTAAAGGTATTTTCATGCAGATTCATAAAGTGTCCGCAAAAATATTTCCCCTTTTTTAATATGGACGGAGTAGACTTTCAAATCCAACTATATATCATTGCAATTATTTAACATAGCTCTGTTAAGTCGTTAACAGAGTTCTATCAATAGAAATGGTAGGTATATTTGCTAGTTAACTTTAAATTTATCTTCACACCCATCCTATAGCAAACATTCGCAATATGAACGTATAGCCTATAAATTTGCAAGAGAATGTGGGAGTAACGCAAACTTGTCGAAGAACACGCCTACAACGCCCACACACTTATGCTACAAAAACTTTCATTCCCAAAATAGAAAAAATCAGCCGCGCCCAGTTCATATTATAGATGTGGAAATTTTGTCTTTTTAGTTTTTGTCTTTTTTAGGATAACGGTGATGGGTATAAAAGATTCGGTCACGACTGAGTACACTTTTCTTACTTGTTTTCTTACTTATTTTATTTGTTTTTTTCTACTTCGCGATAAACAGTATATTAATAAAGACGTTTTTAGCAAAGACACGGCCCTTTGAAATATAGGCTACCTTGGTGGTTAATAATTTTTTAATGATATATTACGCATATTAACATAAGTATGCGTGTAGGTGCAGGTTAAGATTGTTTAGAATCTCAATTTTTTTCTATCGACTTAACAGTGGCTTGGCGCCTTTTTGAATATATAATAGGAAAAGGGACGTCATTACCCCAATGATAACGTACTTTTCATGAAATTTAGTCCTCCTTCCCTATGAAAAGAATATTCGTCCTGTAGGGAGACTTAAGGTCCACATTTTGCGATAAGTTAATTTAAACAATGTTTAATAAGAAATGGCTGCGTTTCTTTGGTCGCAAATGGAATTTTTTCATTCAAATTTTGCCGAATACAGAACTGCAGGACTTGTTAGATTAAAAATTCCTGGCTTGAATGGCTCCGATGTTCTCAACCTTTAATATTTTTCGAAAAGAATTTTTTTTTTTTTTTTTACATATATATATTATATGCTTGATAAGCTTTTCAAAGAATTTATTTTTTCATCTCAAAAATAAAAAACGCATTTCTTATTGGGCGCTAAAGCGGTGTAAATTTGTAGCGGCGAAGCGGAATATTCATAGTCATAAAATTTTGCTGTGCATATGGTGCGATCAGCAAGGTGTAGAGTGTTACGAGCTGCTAAAAAATTGGAATGCGTTATCGGCTTAGAAAATATCGTCTATTTTGCCTATTGTATATTAAGGCAATCTGTATGAAAATATTATTCAAACGAGCACACTTGAGATTTCAGCATCGGCAAATGAACTCCTTTACAGAGTATTGCTAAGGTAGTGGGTACATGTCTTTGTAAATTGAATTCGCAGTTATCTTCACAGCCTTTAATGAATGTGTTTATGCTTATTCTTATCATGAGGTTAAAGCTACGTAATGTATCCTCACGACTGCACGAGTGATCGAGTAAAATCCCAGATAATAGGATGTGAAATAAGTTTCAGCTAATGTTTCAGTGTGTATGAGTAGAAATTTGAAGTATCTATCGAGAAAAACATAGCCGATCAACTTGATCGATATCCAAATGTTTTCACTTTGATTTAGTTTTATTTACGTGCAAAGAATGCGTTAAGTGAGTAAAAATGTTTAAGAATGAAACTTTAATTTTTCAAAAAACTTTTATTAAAACTTACATTGAAACCAATTGGCTGTTGATTCCAAGATACCACGTAAGCTTTTTGTGTGATGATGTAATAAACGCTCAAATTCGATTGTAGCTTTTTTCCGCAATTCAATTTCTGTTGCATTTGTGCAGCATAGACCGCCACAGATGGAACCTGTTAAGAGAAGAGAAAAATCAAATTTTAATTATAATAATTTCTAGATAAAAATCATAACGGCATCTTGTCCATATTTGCTTAATAAATATTTTAAAGACAAATTGTTTCCCAATTTGTTTGCATTGCTTGCTTCTTTTTTTTTTTTTGTTTTGCTTCAAAATAATTGTGTCAAGGTAAGGCAGCGATCTCTTTTTTGCATATGGTGTAAGTAAATTGTTCATTGCGTTTAACATAATTGATGCATAGATGCATTGGCATTTGGCATTTATCCAAAGGTAAAAATTTAATATGAATAAGATGGAGCGTTTTAGTTCCATTCGTTTAGGTTCCATATTGCCAAAAATGGAAAAAGAGAGAAAAAAACAAAATTGAATAACATGAAATAACATTGTCAACTTTTCGCCGCACCAGTTGACTGGTTTGAGTTCGAGTTGCAAGGTTATAAGCAGGTTTGGTTCTTCTTGTGAGTTTTAGTTAATTAATTTTGGTGCGACGCACGTTCGTTCATAACTAATGGAATACAAATAAATATATACATATATATATATATATATATATATATATATATATATATTTTTTTTTTTTTTTTAAATGTTAAATTAAATTATATTAAATTGGAATGATTGACTTTAATCATTCATCTATACATACAATCATCGATTACTAACTGTTATCAAGGAAATCGCATAGCAAAAATTCGTGCAAAATCGTAAATTTTAAACTGCAAAGGCAACTTGAGCTCAATTTAAATTTGAATGGATGAAAACATGGACATCCATCCAAGCTATATCGATTAAATAATAACAATTTAGAAAAGATTACATTGCTTACATTACTTGACAATGGTTTTTTCACTTTGCCAATCGGTTTCTTGCAATTGTCGTGTCCTATTGGAATACTTCGCTTGCAAACTCTCTTTATCCACTAAATAACTGAAAGGTTGCTGAAAACCGTAAACCTCATATCAAAGTTTAGCCAGATTGGGGGGGGAGAATTCAAGTGAGGAGCAATTTAGTATAGCTCCTATTTTTATTCAGCTCATGAATTATAGATATAAACTCAGCAACTTTGTTTCTATTCAAGAGATTTCGAAATGATTTTAAGAATTTGAAAACTGGGGAGATTTGAAAACCCTCAAACACTCGAACAGTGGCAGCAGTATTGGCTTAGAGGAGGCTTTATTTTGATGTCAATTCTTTCTAGGAGTAAATAAAAAAAATTCTTTTCCAACTATCACCCTATATATTATATGTAGTGTCTTCTTATATTTAATCATTCGTACCTTTCTTGCTACTGACTACGGCGTACATACTTTTGCAATTAATGTTTCGGAGGCCAATCAAAAGGATATAATATGAGGGCGCAGAGAATAGTTATGTTAATCAACTTACTAGAAAGGCAAGTTCGGACATCAATCATGCCTAGACATTGAAAGCATAAGGCCATACTTGACTATTTTCTTGGCCTTTAAGATTTGTTTCTTATTTATTTGTTTGTCCATTCAATGTTGGCCTTAATCCTCTCCATCGTTCTTGCAAGAGTTGTCGACTTTTGGGATTTTTCAATATACAATGATATACATATATAGAATATGTATGTATATAGGGCATCCTGCTTCAATGGACCTATGTGTGTAGTATCAGCATTTCATACTAACATACGTTTATATGATAGAGCGAGCATTCAGATTATTATATATGTAAGCATGATTGTGTGTTGATAATATTCTAGATATTGTTGGTATACGGCAACTAGGAGAAACCAATATGTGTACAAATTGCTGTATAATATAGAATGAGTGAGTATATGTTGTGTATTGTGTTTTTTCTGTTTTTTTTTTTTTTTTTTTTTTTGTTAGTTTAGTGTTCTTTTTTAGAGGGTTTTTAGGTTTCACTTATTTGTTATTTTTACTTACAAATTAGTGTTTTTGTCATGTCATGGTCGCATACTGTTTTACAGGGGTTGTTTGCAGAATGCATAACCCAGAATAGTGTTTAGCCAAAAAGTTTTCGCTTTTAATGTTTTCTAGATTTTCTCCTGGTCTCACAAAGGTTATGTTAGTTTACTATTGTTGCTATTATTACTATTATTATTATTATTATTATTATTATTATTCTTATTTTTTTATTAGCTATTAAAGCAGACATGAAGACGCTTTGCGTGAGTTTTGTAGCATTTTAACCTCGAACGACAAAGATTTTTGGGATAAATCCAATTTTCTTGTCCATTACTAACGAATTATTACATGAATATAGTTTTTTTTTTTTTTTTTTTTCTTTGTTGTTCTGTTCTTTTACTAAAGTATGCTTCGAAGTCGATTTAACTATGTTCAGACTTTTAAAGTAACTAACATTGAAACATGAAGCAAGTTTCCTTAACTGAAAAAAGCTAAGAAAAAAGGGTAACGAAAATTTCGATTTTTTCCTTAAGGCAGACAGCAGCCATTTTTATAAAGCTTTTACTTTTCTCATTATCCACCACATGTCCAAAATTGACGAGAAATCTTTACGATTTTCATATGTTCGGAAGACGTATTCACCAGTCGCGGTTGCCGTTAAAGGAAAGGTATACATAATTTCTACACTTGGCCCATTTTTTTTCTTTCACATTTAAATTTTATAAATTTTTCAAATCGTTTTTCTATACCTGCTTGGAAAGTCGCGCTCAATGTGTATGCTTTTCTATAATACTTAGTGGCCGGAAAATTTCTTTCGTCATTTTCTGTCATTTTTCAATATCTTTTGATCTCATGTTATATAAAAATAAATATATGTTATGCTATATATTGTGAAATTGTAAAATCGGTTTAAACAATTTTGATATTTTGAAAACTTATTCAGAGCAAACTGAAATCTAAAAATGTTCTGCTTCTAAAATGCTAGACCAAATATAATCAATAACGGTGTTCTGTTTTCTGTTATGAAACTAATTTGTTTTTTAAATGTTAATGCGAGTCTACTACGCAAGTATTATCAGTGTATAAGTGTTTATCTTATTTTAAATAAAAACTATTAATATCAACAACTGCATGAATAAATAGGCAAGGCAGGCCTAAATACGCTATAGATCATGTCATATATCGCGTATATATATATATATATATACGTATCATACCATGAACATGTAGAGTTTCATGCAATTGTGTAAAGTGTGTATACGCGAGCGTTTCTTCATTCCACCTAGAATGTTCACACAATAAAAGCTTCAAAAATCCTTATATTGTATTTTTTTTTTTTTTTTTTTAATTACACCTCAAGGACTAAAAAGTGGGAAAAGCATTCCTTTGCTATATTACGCATTTGTTGTTGTTGTATTGCCTGTCAATCAATTCGAATAACTTTTCTTAAATTGCGTGTAATCGAGCTTATGGAGAGGCAAGTTTCCGACATCGGTAGACTTTCATCATATCAATAGCAAAGAGGTAAAGAAAAACGGTCAAGTGCATCTAACTAAATTGATCCGGAATTTCACACTGCTGGTATTAAAACGTTTACATACGGGAGTTAATATCGCAGTACAAATTATAGATTGTGTACAAAACAGTATAGAAAAGGCGAAGGTAATCAGTTATAGTAAGTTTTTGCCTAATAACTTGCACCGAGCTCTTCTTCTACGCTTCAAAATGAGTTTTTGATTAATTTTGGAATTTTGGAGAAAAATAAATCTTTATGCAAAATTTACACAACTTGCCCGATTTACATACGTATATATCAGACTTTCATATATGCAATTGTTAATATTAAGGTTAATATATTAATATTATGTGCAGAAAAAACAAATAATAAATTTGAACGCATATCGATTGTTGTGAGTCATGTTAACGCGTAAAATAATTGCAACAACAAAATGTTTAATAACAACCAGAGCATGGAATGTATTGCAAATATGGAAGAGAATTTACCACAAATGCCGTGTATATGGCAACCTTTTATCATTTACCCGCATTGAATAAATTGAAAAACTAAAGTAAATGTTTTACTTAGCCAATGGTTAAGTCATTCGCCCTTTAAGTCAATATATTATTTACACGTGACTACAGGGTTTAATTCAACAACTCTCGGTGCCCAAACGCATTTTAACGCATAGGTTAAAATGGCGGATGGCGGATGGCGGATGGCGGATGGCGGACGGCGTTATGTTAAGTAAATTTTAAGTCCGCTTAGTTAAATGCGGACTTCTTTGTCACATTTTATTGTAGGCAGTCCGGAAATTTCTTGCGGTTTATATAAGGAATGAATTAAGTTTTTCTGCAAAACTTCCGAACCGTTATGTGTCCGATCAGCTTCAATCGAAATCTTTGCTTGGTCATCATCAATGCTATTTGCTCGAGCAGAATATGGTAAAACTTTTACTGAAAGTTTTCGCGAGTGCGGTCTGCTGCAACATTAGTACGATACACAGCACTTAGCTCTCTATGTGCTTCTCTATGAGCTCTTTTATCATTTTAGGTATAAAAAAGAGAAACGTAGACATATTTGCTTACTAAGGTCTTCCTCATCTTACTTACATCACGTACCACGACTGTGACACAACCTATCATTTTTCAAGTTTCTTACAAAACAAACATAAACTTGCTCTATATCTATGTATTTCCGCTTCACCGTAATTATCTGTTCAGCTAACTGTGAACATTTATTTTAATCTGGTGTCGGGAAAAAACCGCAGAAAATTTTCGGACTATATATATATATATTTTTTTTTTAATATATACTTTTATTAATTTTGCTATAATTTTTTTCTTCTCATTAAGTTCAATTCATTATTTTTATTTTTATTATATTTATTTTAATTTGCTCATGTTCATTTCATTATTACTTCTATTTTTAAATGCTTTTCTTTTTTGATTGATATTTTCTTCATTTTCTTATTTAATTAGTGTTTTCATTAATATTTTTTTACTAGTATTTTTCCCATTTTTTTTTTTTGTTTTTTAATTTTTTTTTTTAATGCCCTACATCATTTCTGGTACAAGAACTTGAGACAGACTCTCACAATCA